ATAGTAAAGTTCTAACCACGACCTTCATTTTACAATAACCGACGTCAAATCCATAATTCAAGGCGTTTCCTTACTTCTTAACGACGAATGACGTCTCAGAGATTACACACGTCTAAGTGGCTCACAAAAGAGACTTTTAAAATGCCAACCACGTCAAAGTCTATAAAAACCGACGTTGTAAATTACTAACAATGTCCTAAAATGTGACTCCTAGGCCATAGTAAATGGATTAAACATGACAGGTATTTTAATTAACCGACGTGTAATATTAAATCCACGTCGTTTATTTCTCTGTTCAAGCCGTCAAAATCATTTTCAACGTCTGTGGTGACCTAAAAGGTCGTGGTTATTTGTTTTTTTACGTCAGTCCAAGTAAATATGTGCCATGTTAAATCTTTAAGACGTCGCTTTTTTTGACAAAAGTGACGTCTAATTTACCATGTTATATGTTTTAGACGTCAGTTTTTTTATTTAGTGAACATAATATTTATTAACCACGACGGTTTCTACGTTTTACACGTCGGTTTTGTTTTAATTAGAGACGTTGATAATTACATTTACCTCGGGTTTGTACTTGTTTTTGACATTTAACATTATTTAAACTTCTGTGTTTTACTAAAACAGTCGTCTAATATAGTTGAATGTTGTCTTTTTATGCTTTTATGTATGAGGTAGACGTCGGTTTTAGTTTTTTTTATGACGTGTAATATAATAACGACGTCGGTTATTTCCGTCGTTATTTTATGTGTTAAAAGATGGCGGTCGATTTCATGTCGGTTTTAAAACATGATACACGACGGTGAATTCCCGTCGTCTATTTCATTTTTTGTAGTAGTGAGAATACTTCTAAAAGAAATTAAACAGAGCTTTTTAATTATTTTGAACAACTACAATGAAAAATATTTTGTGGATCAAATTAATAAGAGTTGCATGCTTATGTTAAAAGTGGAACCCCAATGCCATAGTGTTTTAATCAATTAAATTTTCTTTAAATTAAATCTTGCATAAATCTACCTCTGAATCACACTTGTTCTTTTTCATCTCTGTTATTTTCTTTACACCGCTCTCTGTGGATACGACACTTGGACTTCCGAGCTACACTACTATACGACACCTTCCCTTGGGTTTTGCAAAGTGGAACGAACAAATTAGCGCCGTTGCCGAGGAGCAGCTTGTCAAAGAATACAGAGATCCCTTTGGTCGGAGGTTTGCTGGTTATGTGAAATTCTTCACATCTGGTACACTCTTTCCAAACTCATCTCATTGTTAATATTATTTTTATTTTTTGTTTTTTGTTGTTTATTTATTTATTTACTTTATGTAAGTTTTTTTTTTTTTTTTATGAATGAGAACTCATGATAAAATTGGTAGATTTATAGAAACACCTCAATTAGAACCTGAAGTTGTTTTTGTTTTTGAAAATTTTCTTTTTGACTTAGGATCATCAGAAATGGCTGAAACTAATGAAAACAATGAAACTTTTCCTCAGATTGAAGATAATCATAGTGTCCATAATGAAAATGATGAAGCTAGGGATATACACTATGATAATCCACCTGTTAGAACATTGCATGATTATTTGCATCCTACCCAAAGAAGTGTGCCATCTTGCGTTATTTTTCCTATGAATGACAATAATTTTAATTTTAAACCGGTTATGATTCAATTGTTACCAAGTTTTCATGGAATGGAGTCTGAAAATCCATATTCACATGTATGAGAATTTGAAGAAGTTTGTGGTACTTTTTCAACTGAAGGATGTAGGCTAGATACAATTTTACTTAAACTTTTTCCTTTCTCACTAAAAGATAAAGCTAAAACTTGGCTTTACTCATTAAGGCCAAGAACAATTGGAACATGGCTTGAAATGCAAACTGAGTTTTTCAATTCAAAAGACAAATTCTTTGAAAAGACAAATGACCACATTTGCCCAAAATGAAATCGAGTCATTACGTCAAGCTTGGGAAAGGTATAAAGATTTATTAATGTCATACCCACATCACGGTTTTGAAATATGGAGAATTGTTGGTTATTTTTATGATGGATTATTGCCTAAAGATAGACAATTTATTGAGATAATGTGTAATGGAAATTTCATGAATAAAGATCCTGATGATGCATATGATTTCCTTGATGAAATTACAGAAAAAGCTCAAATTTGGGCAGCTTCCGAAAGTTCTCACATCATTGTCCAAAAAACCAAAGTTTCTGCCAACGCTTCTAGTAACGGTATTGATCGGCTTAAAGAGGAAGATGGTCTTAAAGCTCAAATAGCGAAAATAGCTAGGGAAGTTGAAACTTTGAACTCTAAACTGCTACATGGAATTAATTCAGTTTCAAGCGGAGAAAAATTTAATATTTGTGAAGTTTGCGAGGTCATAGGACATGCAACAAAAGAGTGTCCAACACTCCCAGTTTTCAGAAACATGTTGCATGATCACGCAAACTACATAAATCAATTCAAAAAATCTTCATCATCACCTTTTTCTGAAACTTATAACCCACAACGGAAAAATCATCCAAATTTTAGTTGGAAAAATAATTTTAATGATAATGTCCACAAAATGAGCCTAATTTTTCTTCTTATTCTTCACAGATGCAAGGACAATCTTAACAATTACAAAGTTTGGAAGGTGTGTTGAAGCAATTCATGCAGAGTCAGAATGCTACTAACAAAAGAACTGCACAAGAAATTGGCGAGATTAAGAATATTCGTTCGAAACTAACTTCTGCATTATCAATTGATGAGGAAGGCAAGTTTCCTGCTCAAACTCAACCTAATCTTGTTGGACAATTTGAGGTAAACATTCCTTCGACTTCATTCTCTTTGCATGATAATAAGCATGATCAAGTTAAAGTTGTCACAACTCCCCAAAGTAGAAGAATAATTGGGTTAGAAAATTCAACAAATGTTGAAAAAGAAAAGACTTTTGAAATACCAAAGAGTAGTGAAGATAATATTAAAGAAAATGAGAATAATTCTGGAATTTTGAAATATCATTCTTCTGTCCAATTTCCACAAGCACTTATGGCAGTTAAGAAAGATTTAAATCCTGAAATTTTGGAGGTTTTTGAACAAGTGAAAATCAATATCCCTCTTTTGGATACTATCAAACAAATTCATTCATATACAATTTTTTTTAAGGATTTATGCACTACAAAAAGAAAGCACAATGTTCAGAAGACCGCATTTTTAACTGAAAATGTAAGTGCAATTCTTCAAACTAATACTCCACCCAAGTATAAAGATCCAGGTTATTCCACAATTTTATGTGTTATTGGGAATTTTTATGTTGAGCAAGCTTTATTAGATTTGGGTGCTAGTGTAAATTTGATGCCTTACTCGGTTTATAAGCAATTGGGTCTTGGTGAATTAAAACCCACCTTTGTAACATTGCAATTGGCTGACCGTTCAGTAAAAATTCCAAGAGGTATGGTGGAAGATGTGCTAGTTCAGGTAGACAAATTCTATTTTCCTATTGATTTTATAGTTTTGGATACTCAACCAGTTGCTCATTCTAGTTCTTAAATTTCTATTATTCTTGGAAGACCTTTCCTTACTATAGCTAATGCTCATATGAACTGCAGGAACGGACTTATGCAACTATCATTTGGGAACATGACATTGGAGCTCAACATATTCAACATACGCAAGCAGCCTGAAAGCGAAGAAAATTACGAAGAAGTTGACATGATTGATACAATTGTTCAAGATTGTTTTAATTCTTCTTGTTTTTCTGATTCTTTGCAAACTTGTTTGGTCAATGAAGATTATGATTCTGCACAAGATTCTGAAGTAAATTATAATTTTTCTTTGTTGGATTCTACACAGGTGCAAGAAGAAAATGGTTGGATACCAGAATTTGAGGAACTACCAGTTGTTTCATAAGGATTTATTTGAAGGTGGATAAGAACTTAAAGATGCGTCTTGAACACCTGGTGCAAAAATTCCAACTGTTATTTTAATTTCTTGCATGAATTTTTATTTATTCATTTTGGTGGTTTTAATTAAGAGATTGTTTGGTTTGTTTATTCAACTTTTATTGTTAGTGTAATTTTATTTTCCTTCCAACTTTTCTTTATGACATTGTTTGATCTTAAATCTCCATCATTCATAAACAGTATTTCATATAAGTTTGAGAAGTGATTTTGATTCACAATTGCACAATCAGAAATTTGACTTGAATGCTTATTTCATTCCATAACATGTGATTACAAACACAACTTGAAAATGTGTATGTAGATTTCTGAATCACATGTTTCTTTTCGCATTCTGAGCCAATATGCTTCTATTTGCTCTTACTTGTAGAACCTGCGATAGTTCTACATGGTTATTATTTCTCTTTTGCAGTGTTTCTACATGCTGGTTGGCACAGTAGAGCCGCTTCTGCAAGTATGCCACCTCAGCTTTCAAGGCAGCTACCTCCTCACTCAGCGCTGCACACTCCTGCATCCTCGCTAGTAATTGCATGCCCAAATTTGTAGCCGAGACTGCGTGGAGCACAGTTAAATTGTGGGACTCCTCCACAGCAACCTTGTCAGACCTCTGTGCCACATGCAGATGATCTGTCGGTGTAAGTTTACTGACAGTCATGCCTCCCAGCAGTACTGCTCTGTTCGATATTGCCTCATAGAAAGTTGAACATATCAGTACTGCTGAGAGGCATGACTATCAGTAAACTCACACCAACAGATCATTTGCATGTGTCACAGAGGTCTGACAAGGTTGCGGTGGAGGAGTCCCACAATTTAAATGTGCTCCATGCGGTCTCGGCTACAAATTTGGGCATGCGATTACTAGCGAGAACGCGGGAGCAGCGCTGAGTGAGGAGGTAGCTGCCTTGAAAGCTCAGGTGGCATACTTGTAGAAGCGGCTCTACTGTGCTAACCATCATGTAGAAACACTGCAAAAGAGAAATAATAACCATGTAGAACTATTGCAGGTTCTACAAGAGCGAGCAAATAAAAGAGTTAAAAGTTGACATAAGCAAAACCAAACAACTCTCAAAAATAAAACTACAATAAACAAAAGCTCACTAGCAACAACACTTTCAAAGTCTACTCATCATCATGATCATGATCATGATCATCATCTGCTGCGCTCTCAGGCTGATTTGACATCTGGAGGTGAGTCCAAATAGCATCGATGGAGGTGCTCATCCGCTACATCTGCTGGTATTGCAGCATTTGAAGACTGGGGTCCCAAGCAGAAGTGTCGACACTGGGAGCAGGTGGGAACAGCTGGGATGATGTCGGCATGGGCGGCTGCGGTGAAGGCATAGAGGGTGGCACTGGAGCTGATCTGGTAGCATCACGCCGCTGAGAGATACTGTTGGACACAGAAGTCTCCGAAATAGGACCCATGGGCTTAACAATTATATCATTGAGACGAGCCCGAACACCGGAGTGTGCAAATCATGCTGACAATGCAAGGATAATAAATAATACTTTTCTTACGTGCACAAGCCTTTAAACGTTCAAAAATAATGTCCTCTATGGGTAGGGAAAAAGTTCCCTCATGCAAAAATTTTAGAATCTTGACCCCTACAGTGGGAATTTTCGACTGTTGGCCGGATGGGTAGATGTTGTGGCACACAAAGCTCCACATAATGGCAAAGTGGGGTGTCAACTTACCCTGAATGAGGACAGTCTTTTTGGTTTAGGAAGCAAAGGCAGTAGGGTCAGCATAGAAAAGCCTTTCAGCTGCATCTTGCAAATTAAAATCTCTACCCAAATAGCGATTCCATTCATCAGTATCCCCTTCAGGCAAGTTAAGAACATAAGAGATAATGAAGGGGGAAATGTCAACATTTTTTCCCCGAACCTTAATGGGCACAGTTTGGTTGTCTCTAGGCTCCACCCTAGGGAAAGCAGCATAAAATTCTTGCACTATAGACTCATTGTATTTTCCATAGATACGAGCTAAAGGTAAGAGGTTTCTATTCCTAAGTAGGTGTTGGACTTGGATAAGTCCAGTGAATTGAATTGAGGGATTGAGGTCTAGATTACGCTCGGTAACCACAGATGCAGTTAAAAGCGACTCTTCCGATTGAGGTGCACTTCGTGAGGAAGATGCACCCTTATTTGTACCATTTGTAGCTCTAGACATCTAAGGGAAAAAAAAAAAAAAAAAAAAGAATAAACATGCACAAAGAAAGAAAAAAAAATATGCCGCAATTCCCAAACATTCAAAATGCCACAATTAAATCACAATGCCAAATTGCATCAATAAACAACAATATTAACAACAATTATCAATGTAAAGGAGATAGATAGTGAGAAAACATACCCATATGAGCAAATCCACACCAATTGAGAAACAACAAAGCAAACCCAAAACAAAATAAAAGAAAGACAAGATAAACAACAAATTAGATACAAAACAACTAGAATAAGGAATTAGAGTAAGAAAATCAAAGGGAAACACCAAGAAAAATTCGAAGAAAATACCTTGGTGGAGTTGGAACCCTAACTGCAAATCTTATAAAATTGATCAAAACACTTGAAATTTCAAGGAATAGATGCCAAAAATGGATTCTACTCGAAAAATTAAGTGAGAAAAGTGTTATTTGAGTGAAGATTTGGGTGGGTTGTGAGGGATTTAGAGGGAGGGAGAAGAGAAAAAACGAAGGGGTAGAGAGAGAGGAGAGGTTTTCTGAAAAAGAAGAAGAAAGTGAGGAGAGAGGAGAGAAAAAAAGAATAAAGGAAGCTGGCAGAAAAAAAAATCGCGACTATACCTCTTATTAAAAAACACCAAAGAAACTAATTTAATATTGGATTCTCTCAAGATTATATTTTACATGAATTGAACCGATTGTATTTAAGGGTGGAAAAGAATTTAACCTACTTTTCCACTGTGGTGCTATCCCATATGACTTTGGTCAAGCATTGAGCCAGTTAAAAGTAAAAACCAAAAAGTAAATAATAATTATCGAAAAAAGAGTTAAAAACGAAAAGAAAACCGCATCTCTTCCTCTTCCGTCTCATCTGCTTTCTCACAGACCTCATCTCTCCCCTTCTCTCTGCTAATTTGAGCTCTCATTCATTCTCTCTGAAACCTTCAAGTCAAAAACCAAGCTGCCCAGGTTGCTCCACCATGTTCTTCCCTTAAAACCTCCTACTCTCCCTCTAAATTCAGACCCACCCAGAACCCATAATGCCCTTAAGTCTCTCACCGAACTCTCTCCATCCCTCCACATTGGCATTTGCCCAAATTTTTTCACAAAACTCCAACCTTACACAGCCATGGCTTCCACACGTACTTCTTCGGAGGCGACCCATGACCCGAATTTCCTGCGTTTCGACCCGACCCAAAAGAAAACCGGGAACGAAGACCGAGGACCCGGATGTGCGTGAGGTGGTTCGTATGCTCATGAGGAGTTTCAGTGACAAAGAGCCCTTGTTGAAGACGCTCAACAAGTACGTTAGGATTGTTAGAACTGAGCATTGCTTTCTGCTTTTTGAAGAGCTTGGGAAGAGTGACGAGTGGCTTCAGTGCTTAGAGGTCAGCTCTTTTTTCAATCTCTGCATTTTCAGCTTTTGGGTCTTTGAAATTGTTGAAATTGTTGTGGTGGTGTTTGTGGTCGTTGATATACTTTATGATTGAGCTTATTTGGTTTGGTTTGTGGAGCCCAATAATCGTTGAAAGCTTGATTGAACGATGTGATTTTCGTATATAGTCGTTGTGCATGTTACAATATATAGGGAATAGAACGGCATGTGTTTATATTGTCGAAATTAGGCATTTTTAAGTATAGTTTTTCACATGTTAAATCCGGGCAATGACATAAATTTTATGGGTTTTAAGAAATAGCTCATGGGTGCATGCATGAAGCTTGACTATGATTTTACGAGTTTGGAGGAGAAAAATATGTGTATATCTGGACAATTTAGTCAAGTTTCAGTGAACTTGATGATATACAGCTAATTTGAACTAAGACGTGTCAGTTACAATTTGAGCATTTTCTATCAGCGATTATGGTTGGATGAAAGGTAGCTTCACTTACATAACCCACACTCAGGTGTTCAGATGGATGCAAAAGCAGCGCTGGTATGTTGCTGATAATGGCGTCTATTCGAAACTGATTTCGGTTATGGGAAAGAAAGGCCAAACTCGGATGGCCATGTGGCTCTTCTCTGAGATGCGTAATAGTGGGTGCCGGCCTGATACTTCTGTTTACAATGCACTCATCTCAGCCCACCTCAACAGCAAGGACAAAGCAAAGGCTTTGGACAAAGCTCTCAGATACTTTGACAAGATGAAGGGGATGGAACGGTGCCAACCCAACATTGTGACATATAATATTCTTTTGAGAGCTTTTGCACAATCTCGAAATGTAGAAAAAGTTAACTCTTTGTTTAAGGATCTTGATGAGAGCATTGCTTCCCCTGACATCTACACGTATAATGGTGTAATGGATGCATATGGGAAAAATGGGAATATCAGAGAAATGGAATCTGTTCTTTCTCGCATGAAAAGTAATCAGTGCAAGCCTGACATCATCACCTTCAATTTGCTGATTGATTCATATGGGAAGAAACAACAATTTGATAAGATGGAACAGGTATTTAAGAGCTTACTTCGTTCCAAGGAGAAACCAACACTTCCTACATTTAATTCAATGATCATAAATTACGGGAAGGCAAGGCTTAAGGAGAAAGCAGAAGATGTGTTCAAGAAGATGATTGACGTGAAATACACACCAAGCTTCATAACCTATGAGAGTCTTATCATGACGTATGGGTTCTGTGATTGTGTTTCAAAAGCTAGGGAGGTATTTGACAGGTTGGCTGACTCTGGAAAGGAGCTAAAAGTGTCAACGCTTAATGCGATGCTTGATGTCTACTGCATGAATGGTTTGCCCGTGGAAGCTGATAAGCTTTTTGTGAATGGAAATAGCATTGGGGTGCGCCCAAATGTATCAACATATAAACTTCTTTATAAGGCGTACACTAAAGCCAACATGAAGGAGCTTCTAGAGAAACTGCTGAAGTGCATGGACAAAGATGGTATTGTCCCTAATAAGAGGTTCTTTCTAGAGGCTCTGGGAGCATTTTTCTCTTCACCAGGGAGTCCAGGTTCCGTGACTGCAACCACTAGTTTGAGCAGGCCACAGGATGGGCAAAAACTTAGGTAGATATGGTTATAACTTGGTTTGCATATTCTTCTGATTTTTCTTCTGTTAGAGTCAGGTTCCGTGCAAAGTTAGCATATAAACAGAGTTTCTGTTTCCAGCATCAGTTAACTGTGGCACGCGGAATTACTTATTTATATAGTAAGTGGTAGTTTCTGTGATTTAGTCTTTGTTAACACCATTTGTTTTTGCTTACGGTAAAACTTTTAATTTGTATCTACAATATGTTTGTTTGTGGGGTTTTATTTATTTATTGCTTTATGTCTTCAGTTATATTAAGTTTCTTATTTGCAGAGTTTCCCTGTTTATGGTTGAAAAAGTCTGGTTATTGGTGGAAAAAACGAGATTCAGAAAAACCTAGAGTGTTAAGGACAATGTTATTGATGAAGATCATCTTTCAGAATCATAGCTGAAAATAGAACAGTTGTGCAGGAAAGAAATTCAAAATCAAAAGAAAGGAAAGGAAATTAAAATGTCATGATGGATACAATTCAGAATTACTTAGTAGAAGGTCAAGGTCTAGAAATTACCAAGTATACAGGTTAGAGCATGGCTGTGCTTATAATGAAAAACCCTAGCCGCTATAGTGGGAATGCTTAGTCGCATATGAGTCATATGATATCTTTCTATCAGTTATTTCTAGGCGTAGAGTCCAAATTTGGTTTATCCACAAAAGTGAATTCAACTTACAGCCGGAGTAGTTGTTTTGATTTTTTTTATTTAAAAATTTATATTTACTTGACTTCTTATATGCTCAAAAGTAAACAGTAGATGATTACTATACCTTCGTGTAAGTGAAATTTGTTCTTGCCAAGGTAAGTTGCACCTTCTTGTCTACAATGCAAATAAATATCTCCTCATTTAATTTCTAATCTAGAAATCTTTATTTGATCTCGGATCTCTTTCCGTTGACAGTAAACAATATACTGTAATAGTTAGCGACTCTCTCTCTCTCTCTCTCCCTTGCGGCAAGCACAGGGACCTTCATCTTCTTCTCAAAAAATAGGGGCCTTCTTCATTTTTTCCCCCACTATTCAGTTTAGATATATGCTTTTTTCTATAGTTTGTAGTGTTTGCTTAACAGTTCATGAATGCTGTGTCATGACATATAGAATGTCTGTTGGAGAATGCAGAGCTGCCTGTGCCAGAGTATATTCTCTCGTGCAATATTATTTCTGAATTCTTATAAAACTGTTTGCACTCAAGTTGTTGCTCAACACACGCATCTAATTTTATTGAATTATTGTATTCAAAAAACTGACGAATTTTTTTTCTCATCCTCTCATCTCCTCCCATCCCCTTCCACCCTTCTCCTCCACCATTTTCCCCCTCTCCCAGCCATGGCTGTCCATAGCCCAGGAGGGCCCCTCTAAACCCAGAGGCAACTCTTGTGGCTGCATGGCCCCTGGCCATGGTTATTATTATTGTTTTGGTCAACATGGTTGTTATATTTATTATTATTATTATTATTAAACACAATCTCCATTAACTATTTACAAATTGAAACAATTGACACCATAGGAGGGATGAAAGATTGCATAATTTGATTTCATGCTCTTTCCTGCTTGTCAGTTTTACATAAATGTTTAATTTTTTCCATACTGGATGCTATTTTTCCACAATTGATAAGTGTCCGTAACACATAACATGACTGCAGGAGAATGCGGAGCCACATGTAAATGACTTATAAGAACGGAAGCTAAGTTTTGTAGAAATTTATTAGAAAGAGTAGCAACCTTTTACTCCGGAAAGTTTTGGTTTGTATTATGTAGTTCATTCTTTTCTGTTCTTAACAATGTAAGTGGTGATGACACTCGTCTATGGCCAGATTGCTTATCTGTGTAAACCCCGATTGTTACATTGAGTATACTGTGTATTCTTTGGTAACTTCTCAAATAACTTACTAGGCATTTGACATAATGCAGTGCTTTGCAGTTTAAGAGCATGTCTCCAGGCTTTGGGCTGTAGCATTTTGGTGTAATCTCAATTGACGGCCTCCCTCGCTTGATTAATCTGCCATTCCTGTTATATACTGTTTCAACAAGTGTCTTGCCTAGTGTCTTGGTTGTTTGGTGAACTTATAAATGTCGGGCCATGTTGTCTTACGGCCGCATTTGGTGGGTGGGACTAGACATTGACTATTTCAATTAAAATGAGCAACAATTACAAGTCCCATATAGAGGAGTGAGACTCATAAGGACTAACTTAGAGTTAACTTCAATCTCATCCAAGCCAAGCCACTTAACAAGGCGTTAACCCCTTTTTACGCGAGAATGCAAAATCATCACTAAAATAAAAGTAACAAACATTAAAATCATCCCCAAGGAAATTAAATACGAAGAAAATAGCAGAGAAGTGAGTTCATCTTCTTAACATCCTCCTCTATATCCTACGTACTTAAACATTGTCCTCAGTCAACATTATTATTCAGGGAAACAAAGCTCTCCAAGTAAATCCCAACTTCATTAACTCTAGGTAATCCGGAGATTGAAATATTCCGAAATCTTGGACCATTAGAATTGCACAAAAGCAATTGGTCCCTGAACAACACCAAGAGATCATGACTCTTCTTCCAGAAACCAGAGTGTCGTGATACAGAATATGCGATGGGGATCCTTATTTTAGTCCAAGACTCCCTCACGCCGTATTCTTTCATGATCCAAAACTCATTGTGCATTCCTCCATCAGCACCACTACGTATTACACATAAGCAATCTCTGAAGGCCCCAACATTATAATCTCTAGCATCAATAGAAGCAAGAGGTAGTGGAATTTCTCGGACATTCTCCTCTGCTAAATTGAAAGATATAATCACCGACGACCGATGTTCAACTCCAACTCTATCCATCAACAACCAATGAAGGGCTCCATTCAGAAGTATCCCCTTCTGCATGCGGTCGCATTTGTAGGGATATCGCCTTTGAATCATTCAGGGATATCGCCTTTGAATCATTCGCCAAGAGCCAGTTTTCAACGTGTAGACACTGAACATAATTCCACCTTCCAAATATGACAACATAACGACCTTGTAATCACCAGAAGAGTGATCAAAACCAAAACCAACGCCGCTGGAATAATACGTTTTTCCGACATCTGGTTTCTCTGCAAGTTTCTTGGATTCTCTTGTTGCAGGGTTAACCAGATAGAAACCGCCGTTATGTAAGAGGCACAACAATAAGCCATTGGAGTGAAACAACAAGAAAACCCAATAATTTGGCAGTTCACTACAAATATAGTGGAGATCAGTGGGCACTAGTAAATCATCATCACCATTAATTTTATCAATATGATTATCGTTATCTTTACCAAGATAATTATCAACTACTGCATCATTATTATTATTGAGAAATTCATCGAGGTTTAAAGATTGAAAATATCCTCATTCTCAATAGCTTTGTTAAGGTGCATCTTGACGAAATCGGGGTCGGCGATTCAAGAACGCCATGACTTTGATACACACCTGAAGCGGCATAATGACTTCACTGGTAACCTGGAAAGAATCTCAAGTATGATGTCGGATGGAAAGTCAGGGTTACCCATTAGCAGGTGGTGGAACACGGAAGC